AATGAATCTTAAGCAAGTCATTTAATCACCCTAAGCCACCATTTTTTTTAATATCTACATTAGGAAAAGGCTATTATAAAGATTTCAAAGAATACACTAAATAATTCATTATAAAATCTCTGACATGGTCTCTGAATTATGGTGGGTAGTAAATGTGTATTGCAGGAAATGGGAAGGAAGCCAGAAATAGAGATCCGTTTTGACTGTCCTTATTGGAGAGAAAGCCACAAGCATTTACAAACATCCATAATAGCAATGCCCTTCTCCACACTATTATAATAAGAAATTACATGCTGGGCTCAGAGGTGCACACCCTGTAATCCCAGCAACTTGGGAGACTGAGGCGGGAGGATTCTAAGTTCAAAGCCAGCCTCCGCAAATTAGTGAAGCCCTGAGCAACTTCATGAGACCCTGTCTCAAAATAAAATTGTAAAAAGGTCTGAGGATGTGGCTCAGTGGTTTAGCGCCCCCAGGTTTAATCCCTGGTACCAGAAAGAAAAAAAAGAAAGAAAGAAATCATACTATAAGAGTGCTAAAATATCTTATTAATGCTGTACCTTAGAAAAGGCCAAATCCACAGCAGCTAAAGAACAACAGTTAATTCATATTGCCAGTATGATTTAAAAATCAACAATAATAACAGGCAAATAGTGATTTTTTTTCTTTTTCAACTTACAGAAACATTACTAGAAATCACTAGACTGTCTACATAGCTCCTACACTTATGAAAAATGTTAAATGGGACAAGGGATGAAAAGGAAAAAGTGCATCCAGTGGAAACTTAAGTGGCAGCAAGGTAGGGAATAAATAAGGTTGAAGTTAACTTGCTTAGGCAAGACTCTTATGAACTTCTATCTGGTAAAAGAAACCAGTTTGAAATGTCCTAGTGAAACTGTCCTTCCCATGAATTCCTAAAATAAGAGTTATAGAATAGTTTATGAAATTGACTACAGAGCACTTTAAGCTCTGTGGGATTTGAGAAACATAATAACATAAACAGTATTGATAAATGTTTCCTTTCCAGTCTAGACTAATGAGGTTCCAATTAGCTAAGAGTCTCTAGCACACTATGCATTCATTCACTAAATTCTGCACAATATAGCAAAGAATGCATCCTAAAGAATGTAAAAACTGTATTACATCCTGTCTTCAAGAAAACAGATCGACATATTTGAGAAAAATGCCATACGAGATATATATAAATAAAAAATTACTTATGCAAGAAGGACCAAGAAAGTTTTAGGAAATTCATGGATTGAATACAGACATCAGAAAACCAGAAAGGAGGGAAGAAGGAAAAAATTGTAGGTGAAAGACTAGTTAAGGCAATTAAATAGGCTAATATAAGCACTGACAAGTAGGAATTGGCTGAAGCCTAGGCAACTGAAATGATCTGAGTGTTAGATTTGGAATGAGATTGTAAAAATATTTTTGGATAGCAGGAAAAAAAAATTAAACCTTATTCTGTAAAGACTAATAGTTTCAAAATAAAGGGAAATGAAGAATTAAAAGTTTAAATTAGGAAAATTAGTCTTGTATAATGATTTAAGTATGAAATATGGAAAAAAAAATAGTGTTAGGTAGGTTAAGAAAAGCTATCAGAGTTAATGATAGAAATAGACAAGTCATCAAACAGTGATAATTATATAAACTCATATCCCCCAACTCGAAGTAGAGTTAAATCATGTTTTCAGAAAAATTATGTACATATTTTAAATTTCATTCCCTAAGCTGTTAAACAAAAAAGTTTTTAAAATCTCTCTGAACCTACTACTAAAATGCATTTATTTCCCAGAGTAAACATGTAAAATTAAAATTATCTCCAGAAGAAATGCAGCCTGAAAGCCTTTTTTTATTATTAGTTATTCATGATAGTACTCATGATAGAATGTATATTGACATATTATACATATATGGAGTATAATTTCCCATTCTTCTGGTTGTACATGAGATGGGCGCTATAAATCTGTTCCCTAAAGCAGCCTCAAAGCTCATGTCTCTTTCACAGCATGAGCACCTTAATTCTAGAGTTAAAGATATGTATATTTTTCATATAACACAGCCCTACTCATAAGTAAACCACTTTATCCCGTGCTCAAAATAAAAATAGTAATCTATTCAAACACTGGAGGAAAAACTGGCTGTTATACTTTATAAAACACAATACTTATACTATAATTTATATGCTATTTAAAAAGTTTTTCTGAGGTATTTTGGCTCAATTTTTGCTTCACATACAGATTTTAGAACCTATTCTCTGCTTAACGCCCTTTTTCTCTTATCTTAATCATAGTAAGCACACTTGAGGTAGCTAAACCAGGATTTCAGTCAAAACAATTATTTGAGAGCAGAAAAATTAACTAAATACAATGAAACATTTCAGGAAGCTAAAATCGGACAAATAAAAACAAAATCTCCAAGCACTGGGTATGGTTACAGAAAACAAATGTGGGCACCATGTGGAAGAACACAATTCCTGCATGGAACTTAAATATTATTATAGTCAAGCTATAAAGTACTTATGAGGGTTTTACAAGTAGGTATTTTCACTTACCCACAGAACTTTTGTTAGATAGGTAGCTAGACAGACTTGAGCAAGGGAGATAGGGAAAGGAAATTCAGGCTCCACCCCATGGCACTCAGCTTGCCATTACACTGCCCAAGTACCAGCTCCTTACAGTCAGATAGCTCCCTATCCATCTGAAGAAAATGAATATACTCTAACCTTGGGAAATTGCCAAAATGGCCAAGTTCAGGAGCAGGCACATTAAACTTAGGCAGGAAGGCTATAACCATCCCAAATAAATAATCCTTGGGATGGGAAGAGCCCAAGAAGGCCATAAAAGCCCACAACTCAAAACATAGGAAGCTATCCCTCTCATAAAACTGCCTACTCCATGCTCTCTGGAGCATACTTCCTTTTGGCTAAATAAACCCTTTGCTTTTTCTATTTGTGTCTCTCAACAGAAATCTTTCTTTTGGGAAGATAAGAACCATGGGACTCATTGCCCAATGACACTATTAATATCTCTTTTCCCTGAGTAAATATTTTCAAGTAATAATGTAAAATTCTGGCAACATATTTATTAATGTCTTTTTTTATCTTTTAGTTGTAGTTGGACACAATACCTCTATTTTATTTTTATGTGGTGCTGAGGTTCAAACCCAGTGCCTCACATGTGCGAGGCGAGTGTTCCAGCACTGAGCCACAACCCCAGCCCTTTATTAATGTCATTAATATCAGATAAACATTTTCTGAAAACCAAACTAATACAATTTAAGGAATATAAGTATTTTTAATTTTAAAATGAAAGCTTGTGTTTGCTATGTATAAGTGATAAAATGTTTCAAAGTCATATATTTTTTATGTAACTTCTGTTGAGCACTTACCTGTGTATTAGACCCTATAGTAGATGCTAGAAATACAAAATGAAATAAAACACAATCCTTGGGGACTGCAAGTGTAGCCTGCCTAGTGTGTCCAAGACCCTGAGTCTGATCTCTAGCACAGAGGAAAAGAAACACAGTTCTTGTTCCCTTCAGAGTTTACAACCTAATGAGGAAGACATAAAATACTTAGAATACCCATGTTAAAATAAACATTTACACCTGTAGAAGCAAATAAGGGAGTCAGGAAATGCTTTTATAAGAGTCACAAATTGTATGAGTAAAGTAAATTTAGCAGATCAGGTAAAAATTAAAGCTATGCTCTGTCAAAAGCCATCCATGACAAGAATTATACCTGTATATGTGATACAACAAATCAACCTCTTTCTCAGACTTAATTTAATGTAATTTTTAAAAGTTTTAATTTTTTAAGTTTCCAAACTTAAGACTAGTTGCCTTAACTTCCAGATGAATCACAAGAATCAAATTATAGTTTTGTTGGTTTTTCGGGATTAAATGATCTGTTTACACAGAATGTAGTATAGCTTCGTTTCCTGAGTCATATACTACTTGCCTTCTGCTCCAGCAGCATTTTATTCATACCTCCATTTTTTTTTTTTTATAGCAAGAACTTGAATTCTGCAAAGAAGGAACTATCAGCACCAGGTAAAAGATGAGAAAATAGGCTTAGTATGTGAAGTGATGTAATCAAAATCATCTTAAGCCAAATTTCAAATTCAATCTCACTACAAAAGCTCTTTCTACACAGGTACTAAATAAATCAAATAAATAACTCAATTGACTACAGTTTCTTGTTATCACTGCTTTGTTACTATCAAAAACAAATTTACCAAAGGTAAACGAAATGGAGAGGACATGATCCCGGTGGAGGTGTGGGGTACTGCCTAGTATCTGAACTCCCTCCCTGTAACTTGGAAATGCCCCCACTTTATTAATCTTCATAGAAGAGACAGCCCATAAAAACCAACAATGCCACATACTCCTACCAATTACTCTTCTTATCTTACCCAGTAAAATCTGGAGATAGCACAAAGTTGGAACAGAAAAGGTTGGATTCTGGTAGAAGGAGGCAGCATCAACATTAAGTTTCCAAAGGCAAAAGGAGCAGCCATGCTGTAGTCAATTCTAGCCTTCCTCAATTTGCAGCCACACTGTTTGTCACAAGACTGGTTTTATGTCAAGATTTCTAGCTATGTCTTTTCTGCTATCTAGTCTTTCTTGTTTCTGACTTTTTAAGGTTACGGCCTTCCCAGGTTTTGAACTAATCAATATATTATCAACAGTCCCTTTTCTCCTAAATCAGTCAGAATTGCCCTGTTACCTGCAATTAAAAATCCTAAGCATTTAGTAAATATATAACACTAAATAATTGTACTTTATCTAATTTTTAAGCTGTATTTTGATTGTTCTTCTATGTAATATGTCATTAATATCTTAAGTAACATCTGCTTTACACATAAAGGTTTGTTCTAACAAGAACAAAAACAATTCAAATAAGGTTTCTTTACCTCTTTCAAAAGAAACACAAAGTATAGTAACAGTCATCTAAGGGTTATCTTCACTGAAGTTCAGAATTAATTAAGACTTCTTACCTGTCAGGAATACCTAGCCTCTTGACACTTCTGTAAACAGAAAGAGTATTTGCAACATGTCGATAATTAAACCAGAATCGGGATGTACACACCTAAAGTATTAAAACAAATATATGATTTTTATGAGTCGAAGTAAGCCATGGATTTACAGAATTATTTTTCTTTAGGTATGACATAGAAATGCCTGAAGAAAGAATGTCAGGCTTAGAAACAAGAAACAGTCAATAAACCATTTCTCTAAAGATAGGCCTTTCATACCATAACAAATACAAAAAGACCATTCAGTTTAAGAGAAAAAATCTTCAAGGAATTTAATCAAATATTGAACCAACATAGTTACACTCAATTTCTGCAATTCTATAAGATCCCTATTTGTAAAAGATTAAATTGTTTAGAATCAAAGAAAATGCCCTTAACCTCTTCACAGAATAGAGAAAATTAGCTACTTTAGGTTATATATTTGTTTCACTCTTGATTGCTTCCTTATTTGTGAGACATTGAGGATAAGACTAAAACATCCTATACAAAGCAGTTTTAAATATACATAATACATAATAAGCCCAATGAACTATTAGAAAATAAGAAATAATTCAACACTTAAAAAAAGATTAACTAAAAACGATATCAATGGTTCTAGCAAAATCGTACACTATAACTCAAGAGTTAGTGTCTTGAGAATCCATTATATAGGAGGTAAACAGAGACTAGGGTCAGTTAATAGTGTATCCAAGTGAGCACACTCCTTCTTGTGCTTATACTATATATAATGACAATTTTGAGAATAATATAAATGTTCTTGCCTCTGTCAAATAAAAAGGAACTATATGATATCTTTTAATTAAAGTGAATTTTCATCCTAGAATCCAATAAGGAAAAGACAACAATTTTGATCACATAAAAATATAAAACTCCATATGTCAAAAATACCATTAAAATCCTAGCAAATGAAAAACTCAAAATTATAAGGTATAATTTTCTCAATTATAATTTATTAAGAAAAAATGAACAAACTAATTTTTAAAAAGAGGAAAGGATAAGAACAAGCATTTCATATCAAAAGCATTAAAAATGGACAATGAAATTCAAACTTGCTCACTCGATTTCAGCCATTCTTTAAAAAAAACAAATCAGATTGATAAATATCAAAAACTCTTCTAATGAATATCATTGTCAAGGATGTGAGGAAATAAGTACTCAGAGCTGACTGATGGATATGTAAAAATTAATATAAACCTTTTAAGAAGGTAATCTGTAATATGCATCAAGTTTGAAAATGTACATATCTTTTCATTTAGCTCATGCAAGTATGCAAAAATATGTACTGAAGGCTTTTCACTATAACATTGCCTGTACTAGCAAAACTAAAAACCAAAGAGCTGGAAAACAAATTACTGTCCAAAAAAAGCTAGCAAAAAAAGATCCACAGGTTCCCTTATTGAAGCAGAAAAAATATATAAAACAATTTACATCTGAATTAATCATAATAAAAACCAATATTTTCATTGCATTTTATGCATACACAAAAGCTTTTTGCATCCATTATACTGTCTAATAAGCAGAAACCTAAAAAACTACCCTCTTTTTCACATCCAATTTATTAGACAGAAAATTAAGATGGGAAAATGGAAAGGACCAGGAAAATACTAACTAATATAAATTGTCAAATATTCACTGAATGGAATTTTTTTAAAAGCAAGGGCATATGGTAATGTCATTTAGAAGACCAGTAGTTTTTTATAAAGAGAGGACAGATGGGCACGGTGACACATGCAGTTCAGGAGGCTGAGGCAGGAGGCTCACAAGTTCAAAGTCAGCCTTAGCAATTTAGTGAGACCCTAAGCAATTTAACAACACCCTGGGTCAAATTAAAAATTTTTAAAAAGGGCTAGGGATGTGGCTCAGTGGTTAAGCACCCCTGGGTTCAAGCCTCTATACCCAAAATAAAAGAGAGGGAGAGAGAAAGAAAGAAGTGTAGATACAAACATGATTGTACACACTGGAAATTTCTGAAAGGATATACAAGAAACAATTTATAGTGATTACCACTAGAAAATAAAAATGAGGGTCAAAAGGGGTGAAATAATTTTTCAGTTTATACCCTTTCTCACTATACTCTTTCTTCCCATGAATATGGATTATCTTTACAATATTTCTTTTAAAACAGAGTCAGAAATGTTTATGCAAAACAAATTAGAAACCAAAATGAAATCCAACTTTCCTTCTATCTCCCTCTTGTGGCAAAAGTTCCCTCAGTTATTTTACAAGAGTAAAATCTGATCATTGAACCAATACTAACTTCCAATTAATCCAAACTGGGGGGGGGGGGGGGTGTTAGATTTTTTTTAAAACTATAAACAATGTAACATTGAAAGAATTCATTTTTAGTACTTTCAGTTGGTCCTGTTCACATTTCATAACTTTCCATTTAAGAAAGTTCAATTTATTAAAGTTTCACTATACAGTATTAAGTCTAATGTATAAAATACTGGACAAAATATGAAAACTGAAGTTGTCATGAATTTATACAAATGTCTCTTTTTTCACCCTCTATTCTTCATCTGGAACCCAAGTTACTAAAACTCAAAAGGAACTTGCTTAGAGGGTACCCAAGTGAGAACAGCTTTAATGTAGTAGTAATGTAAGCTAAGCTAATAGGCTCTTAGTTCTAAAAAAGAAGGAATTTGGCAACTGATAGACATTCCCTCTTCTTAGATTTCCCTATAGACTTGTAATAGAAGAGCCCTGATTTTCCTGTAGAACAAATTTATCCTTTCAGTTTGGTAGACCATGTCCTGGCTCCTAATAATTTTCCTCATTTTTTAAGTAGTTATTGAAAACCTCTCTCCTTGTCTCAAGCAGCTTTATTGAAAACCTCTCTCCTTGTCTCAAGCAGCTTTTGTTAAATTCCTTCATAAAATCTCCTATGAGGAATAAGAAGAATATGAGACCATGTTATACTATTCTATTTAATCAGAATAAAATTACAATTGATACGAATATGCATAGCAACCAGTAGATAATTACATACTTTTACAAAACAATTCTTAATAAACTTATAAGGTCTCAAACATTCAAACATTCTACTTTGGTGTTAGTAAAGTTAATTATAGTCTTTTATGTTTGTTCTGCATGTTAGCTGAATTCTTCTACCCACCTCCTTAAAACTCCCACTGCTCTTATAATCTGTGCTCCCATTTTCTTTCCTTTCCAGCATGAGTTAATGGCTCTGAGATGCTGTGCATTCTTTGTTCCCTTTTTCATAAAAATCAGCTTTCTTTCCTGCCTCTTTGAACTTACTCTTTACATTCTTTCTTCTAGTTCATTGCTATCATTTGAATGTGACATCCCAAGTTCATGTGTTACAAACTTAATACCCAATTTCATATGTTGATGATATTTGGAAGCCCTTCAGAGGTAATCAGAATTAAATAAGGTCATCAGGGTGGGATCATCCCATCCAATGATGGCATCAGAGGAAGAGAGAGACCTGAGCTAGCAAATTCACCTTTCTCACCATGCAACACCCTTTGCCATGACATAATGCAGTAAGAAAGCCATTATCCAATACAGAGGAGATGCCAGGACCATGTTCTTGAACCTTCAAGTCTCAGAAATGTGAGCCAAATCAACCTTTATTCTCTATAAATTATCCAGTCTCTGCTATTTTTTATAGCAAAAGGGAATAGAGTAGGATAACCTTTTTATATCTTTTTTCATTAAGTCAAACTTATTCTATCTTCTAATCATGTAAATGTCATTAAGTAAAAACCTCACAAGTGAAACTATCATCCAAATATAAGAAAAGTAAAATTGATAACATGCATTCTGTTCAGGGAATGAAAAAATACAAATTTCTTAATCCAGATAAATTAAAAATGTTAATTCACACAAAGCAGAAATAAGGCAAAAGAAAAAAATAAGCCAATAAACAAATCTTAGTAAGAATCGAACCAATGAAAACTGAGACAAATTTAATTGTTACTCAGCAGCCAAAAAGAAACAAGTTAATGCACAGTTTACTTAGGTTTAGAAGAAAGGGCATAACCTTTCTGGAGACAATCATGTTCCACAACTTAGTATTTTTTGCCTAGGAATTTATCCTAAAGAGAAAATCAGTTAAGCTGTGCACAGTAGAGCACTCCCGTAATCCCAGCTATTTGGGAGGCTAAAGCAAGAGGATCACAAGTTCAAGGCCAGCATGGGCAACTTAGTGAGATCCTGTCTCAAAATTAAAAATAATAAGGGTTAGGGATGCAGCCTACTTGTAGAGTGTTGCTAGGTTTAATCCATCAAAAAAGAGAAGAAGAAAAAAAGAGAAAAATCAATCAAGTTCACAAAAATGTATGTAAAACAAAAATATTCAACACAACTATGATTAAATAATGAAAATTTTAGCATCTAAATACTTATCTTCAGATAATGGTATATTCCTAACAGAAACAATACAGCCTATACAAAGGATACATATCTGCATATCTACCAGCAGAGAAGGTATCCCAAAATAAGCTAAGGTACTGTAAAACAGCAGGTATTTTATAATCCCAGTTATATAAAATCTTGAATCTATTTTATGCTTATATTTTTCTTCTTTAAATGGAGAGGGGGTTACCAAAATACTGACTCTGAAATATGTGAATTGAAGATATTTCCCCTCTCTTTTTTCCTTTAATTGAGGTAAAATTCACAACATAAAATTAATCTGTCTTCTTTTAAACCTTTCCGTATTATATTTTTGAAGTTTTTACAATTATCATTAACTGTTTTGTAAACAGAAAAAACAATTATAAAAATAAAACAGCATAAATAGAGCAACTATAAACTAATGTTAGACATAGAAGATATATCCACTCATTTCCAGCTTAAAATAATTCTACATTTTATAAAATGCTTCCTTTAACAATAGCAGCCCTAGTTTATTCTTATATTTATTTACAAATTACCGCCTAACAAGTAAATTTAGGGAAAGGAATATTATTAGAATAGTTTTAGTTGATGTGGTCAATTTAAAATATAACCAACTCAAAATAAAGAATTTCTTCTAAAAAAAAAAAGAAAGAATAAATTTTATTTTCAAAAATTTGATGCATGCAAAATATTTCAGATACATAACTAATGTGAATGGCAAGGTATACAATTATAGAATATACTTACCAAAACAGCCCAGTTGTTTGTATGGCCACTTCTAAAGAATTGTTCTGCTTGATCCTATCAGTCAAAAACAGCAAAATGATTAAGAAAAAGCTCCAATTTTCCAGATAAAGACTGTTAATGGACAGTGAAGACTCATGGACTTTAATCAATATATGGAAGTTTCTGAAGATACTAGTGTTTGACCTTATGAACAAAATAAAGAACCAACTTAAATAGAAATTAGTACAAGATACTATATTGAGGGGGGGGAAGCCCTAGTTTAAGATACTATGTGGAGGTTGGGAAGAATCCCTAGTTTAAAATACTATGGGAAAAAAAATAGCCTTGAACTAGAAATCTGGAGATCTAGATTTCAGTCTTGCTTGAGACTAATTAAGCAGAGTAACCTTAATTAAGATGCTTGACTCCTGGACTGAGTATATAGCTTAGTGGTAGAGTCCTTGCATACCATGCATCAGGTCCTTACATCCTCAGCATCACCAAACAAACAAACAAACAAAACACACACACACACACACAAAAGGCGGAGGAAGGGGGGGGGGGGGAACCTCCCTTGATACTCACTCTCTTTCTATGTGAAATCAAAGGATGCCAACTCTATCACAGTGCCATTTTACTGGTCTATAAAGATATGTGTGCCTCTGCTTTAAAAAATTATTAATCATTACACAAATGAAAGTTTATTATAGAAATCACATTTTACTCTTTCCATACCTGAGAACTATTAGAGTGTTCTTTACAGAGAATATAGAATATCTGTTCAAAAGATTTTACAAGATTATCGTTCAAAACTGCAACCTCACCAGAAGGATCACTAGTTCAAGAGCAGCCCCAGCAACTTAAGGAGACCTTGATTCAAATTTAAAAAACAGAAAAGGCTGGGGATGTGGCTTAGGTGTAGAGCATCACTGGGTTCAATCCCCAGTTCTAAAAAAGAAAAACTGCAATTTCACCTCATCATTTTCTTTACCTTATTTTCCTCATTATTATATACCATTAATTCATTTACTATGCATACTATTATTTTCCCATAGGGTGTAAGCTCCAGTAGGTCAGATGCTTTAATTATTTTTCAAAAATTGGCACACAGTAAATTTTGAGTAATTTTTTACTTTTTTATTGGGGGAAGGGGCATGTAACTAGGGGTTGAACCTAGGGGGTGTTCTACCACTGAATTACATCTTTTTTTTTTTTTTGGTGAGACAGGGTCTCACTAAATTGCCCTCTGGAGTAGCTCATATTATAGACATGTATCACCATACCAGGCTTTGAATAGATATCTTTTGAATGAATACATAGTACACATGCCTTTACTGACAGTGAACAAAACAAGAATCCCCTAGAAAACTGAAACTACATGAATGATGGGTTCAGAATAAGAAACTATTACATAAAAGTTGTACCATAAAACTAAAAATTTCAAAATCTCCTTCTAGATTGTACTCTGATAATCTCTCCATTAAACTCATCACTCTGCAATGAAAATGTTTATGCCAAGAACTTCTCAAATATTAATATTTCACTTTTAGTAATATCATAGTTTTTAATCCCCATAAGAAAAAACTCCCTACTTCCCCAACCAAAACAATCACTACTCAAATTTCTCATAGAAGTCTTTTTAATCATTTAGTAATCATTGCTGTTCATTTATTAAAATCTCTGCAATTATGTTCACTCTTTAATATTGGTCACAATATTAAGTCAGACAGATGTGTTGATGCATCCATAAAAATTGCTGAATTTGGTGGGGCTGGGGCTAGGGCTCAGCAGTAGCACCCTGGCCTGGCGAGTGTGAGGCACTAGGTTTGATTCTCAGCACCATGTATAAATAAATAAAATAAGATCTATCAACAACTAAAAAAAATATAATATATATATATATTTTTTTTATTATTTTTTTAAACGACTGAATTTTTGTTTTTGTTTTTGCTGGGGGATATTATTGTAGGACTATTTGTTTTTAAAATATTTTATCTCAAATGCAGCCAAATCTTCCTCATATGCTTTTAATTTTCCATTCGTTTTTTTAAAACTGTGAATGATTTCTCTCATGTCTTGATTCTACATATAACAATTCATATCTTTCCTGTCAAAACTTCATTCACTACCTATTCCTACTATGTGCTGGGCATTTTATTCAAACTCACCAATATATTCAATTGAACACATAGTCTAGCATACTGCCACGTACCATTTCACCCATCTGTTATGGATGTTTGAATATTTGCCATCCAATACCATCTTGAACACGATATTATTTATACGTTAAAAAAATAATGGATCGAAACCATGCTTACCTCAGATCTGCTCCCAAACAGTATTAATTACAATAACAGTCAAAATGCTTGGGTTCAAATCTGGCTCTATTACTCACTAGTTGTATAAATTTAGGAAAGTCATTTAACTTCTCTGCCTCTACTGTGCTATCTATAAATGGCAATAGCATTATTTAACTCACCAAATGCAAGAATAGCGATTAGAACATAATGCACAACAAATATTAGCTGTTTTAATTATGTGGCTAACAGAAAAATTTCAGGGAGAATAAAATAAAAAGTTCTACTCAAATATGTATGAGTAGAATATACAGTTTTTTCCTCCCCATACAAACCCTTGTCTATACTATAGTTGTCTATACTATAGTTGCCCAGATGTTGAAGAAAGCAAAGTCCTATAGTGGATAAAGTATTGGCTTAGTAATTTGACGACCTCAGCTAAAATATGACTGGGTGAGATTGATGTAAGTCATTTAGCTCTTAAATGACTTTTCTGATGCAGAAAATGAGACTTGACCCAAAAAATCTCTAATGTACTTTTCAGCCCCAATATTCTTACTTCATTAAGACTTTAGTGAAAATTTTGAGGTGGTAACTCTAATTTTTTTTTAGACAATATAGTCATTATAAAGTTATTTAAACTATGTGTAGTTAATGAAGCACCTCATATGTTCCAGGTACCACATAATGTACAGTCTTAGGAAAATCACTAAAAAGCATGCTGTTTCTCTTAAGAATTCCAGCATTTAATAAGGCAGACAAGCATACAAACACATCACTTTACTATGCAACATTCATTAATTCATCACATTCATTGGACATCACGTACCAACCACTGCCCTGAGTGATTAGAATACTATAATGGGCAAAAATAGCCATAGTACTTGCCTTCAATAGGATAGCACATACTAAGCATAAATAAAAATGAACTATATATAACTCCTATAAAGCAAAGAAAATCTCTATAAAAAAAAAAAGTATAACACGGGGACTTGGCAGAAAACATTTCCCTAAAGAAATGGCATTTGGGTTAATCAAAAGATGAAGAAAGGAGGGAAGACAATTCCAAACAGAGGAAATATGGACCAATGGCAGAAGAGAGCTAAAAGGTTTGAGAAACTGAAAGAAGTTTAGTATAACTAGACATTTGAAAGGAAGAAACAGCAAAAGAATTCTAGATGTAAGCAGCGGGGTCTATGGGTATTGATGAAGATTTTTTTTAATCTGAATTATTTAAGATTTGTTCTTTACCTTTAGAATAGCAGAACAGCATTAATGGATATAACAATGACATTATCAGATGTGGATTTTAAAAAGTTATTCCAGCTGCAACTGGAGAACAGGTTGGAAAAAAGACCGACTCCTGACAAACCACTTTGGAAATTACTGTATCCTAAGTGAGAAGTATGAAATAACAATACAAAGAATGCATGGTTTGGGGGAATTGGCTCAAAAAAACAAAGGTCGAATGTTTTCTCTGATAGACACATGCTAATTCAAAATAAGGGGGGTGGGTAGGGAAGAATATAGAGTTACTTTGGATTCCATAGAAGGGAGTGAAGGGAAGGGAGGGTTTGTGGATAAGAAGGATAGGAGAATGAATCTGACATTATTACTCTATGTACATATATGACTAGATGGCTGGTGTTATTCTGCATCATGTACAACCAGAAGAATAAGAAATTATACTCCATTTATGTATGATGTGTCAAATGCATTCTACTGTCATGTATAACTAATTATAACAAATTTTAAAAGATAGAAAAAAAGAAGAAACAAGTAAAAAACACATAAAGAATACATGGGCTCTAATGGGTAACTGCTGTATTAGTTGAATGTACCAACTACAACAGTAAAGGGAAAAGTAAGAGACAGGGAAAGGTTCTACAGAGGTTGTTTTTACTGAAACTTAATAAAGGAACAGACAAAAGAAATTGGAGGTATAAAACCTGAAACTGTGAAAAAGCACAGCAACTGTGCAGCTACAAAAAACAACAATGGGGTCAGCCACAATGGCACACACCTGTAGTCCCAGGGACTCAGGAGGCTGATAGGGGAGGATCACAAATTGAAAACTAGCCTCAGCAACTTATGGAGACCCTGTCTCAAAGTTAAGAAAAAAAAAAAAAGGGTGGGGAGCGCTGGGAATGTAACTCAGTATTTAAGCTCCCCCGGTTCTGGGATAGAATCTAACTGAAAAAAAAAAAAAATAGGATTTAATGTAAAGGAGAACAGAAGCCTAAAGGAAACAAAATAAATTACAATAGTATAGACAAGAAACGACCATAGCCTGAATTACACTGGTGAAACTACAGAGGTAAAGTCACTTATAAGAGTTCAGAACACAAAATTTAGCGATAATTAGGACTCCCGGGTATCTAGTTTACCAGCAACACTTTTGGGCTACGAAATACAAGAGAAAAGAGATGTTTAGTTTTTCCTTGCCTGCCTTTCTAAAAGGAGGTGAGATAAAACTTTGGACACTGATTTCCAAACGTCTGCTGACTATCTGGGCCCCTTAATCAGCTGAATATGCAAATCTGAAAATGATGCTAGAGATCAAAATTATAGAACTGAAAAACCATCTGAGTACAGTGTTAGTAAACACATTAAAGAAGGGCGGGGAGGGGGGCGGCGCCTGGAAGGCTAGTATAAAAAAGAGTACCCATCTGACTGTTATCAAAAGAGCCTTGTAGCCAGGTGTGGTGGCGCAAACCTATAATCCCAGCGGGTCCGGAGGCTGAGGCAGGAGGGTCAAAAGTTCCAAGCCAGCCTCGGCAATTTAGCGAAGCTCTAAGCAACTTAGAGAGACCTTGTCTCAAAATTTAAAAAACAAAAAGGGATGTGGATGTGGCTCAGTGATTACGAGTCCCTGGTTCAATCCCTGGTCCAAAAAAAAAAGAAAAGAAAGGAAGGAAGAAAGAAAATCCTATTAAGTAGGAGGGAAGTAGGTACTGCACTCCGGTGTTGACATTCACCTGCCAGGAAAGACTGCACACACGTAGGAGTAAAGGCAAGTTCTCCTCTGTCTCCAAGGATTTGATTCCTTTCAATGGCCATTTTTAAAGACTAAAACTGACAGACACGATCCTGTCCGGTTCCCAGGGTCACCCTCCCCACCCGCTAGCGCTGGTGAGGTTGAAGATTCCAGGAGGGAGGCTGCTGTCAAACTACTGTGTATAGGACATCTGCTACGCGCTCGCGGCCACTACACAGCCGTCCTCCTACGGCCAACTCATCAAAATAGCCCAATTCCTACCTCGAGCTGACTAGCTGCCAAGCTTCCGAAAAACAAGAGCAACAAGGCTGCCAGGGCAGCCGCCAGCCGGCCGGGAAAGCAGGCGGCGGCCATGCTTGCCGGCTCCGCACTTCCCGTACCTGGAGGGGCGGGACGCGTGCCGTAAAGCAGAGCGGCGGGTGCGCCTGCGTTTTATTTGTTGCGACCTCCTGGAGACCCGCCCTCCGCCTGCTTTTAGGACTCAGCATTTTCAATCAAGTTTTCCCGGGAAATGAAGCGAGAATACTGGGGGATGCTGGGTTTTTAATCCTTAACTGCGTTTTCGATTTTTGTATTATAAAGTAGATGTAATATTTAAGGAAAAAAAAATGAAAGGGGAAAGAACCTATGAATCCACAAATTTTAAAAAGCGATTTCACTTTTTGCATAGTACTGCCAGTTCTTGAGAGTATATGAAGCAGGTTATGGTGGGAAGAACAAGTGTTTTGCCACAAAAGGTGATAAATTTCAAGGGGAGATATGAGTGAATGCTGCAATTCAGAGACTTGAGGCCTAATAGTAGAAGGATGTGAACATGTTTTGCTTCTTTAGTTAATTCTCTAATGTTAGAGCTAAAACCTATCTGAAAGCAACAAAGATCACATAGCTATGTGCCACCATTCTCTATATATACAGTTTTAAATTCTTGTAGTATGACCATGTTTACAAGATGCTTCATAGTCCTTACAATTTTAACATTTAATGGTAACATGAAATTCCATCCATTATTGACGCTTCAAATAAAGAAGGAATTGCCCCTCTATTGAGCAATACAGCTATTCTAAGTTTTACTGAGAAAATAATATTATAAGGAATATTTTTTTACACTTGGCATTATATCTGTTGAGTTATTTTCTTTTTGTAATTTTCCTCGAATAGGAGTCGTGGGTCAAAATATTTAAAAATGTCTTTAACAAGTACTCAGATGTTGCTTTCCAAAGTATAAAAGCTTGCAATGCTATCAGAATACACAGGCTAACACCAAATTACACCATTTTTTCCTTTAAACTCCTTGATACAAAATGTTACCTCAAGGTTGTTTTACTTCTAATTCTTTGATTACTGTCAAGATCTTGTTATTGTTTCCAAACTATCTGTGTGTCCTCTGATATAAATTTTATGTAAAACATAAATGTCTTTATAAAGCAGTATCATTAACTCTTGCGTATTTTATGCTTTTGTTTTTCCCATTCCCTGTCTCTTTCCCTTTTGTTTCATTTGCTATTGTACTTTATGAGAGGCTTAATGCTAATTACTCAAATTTAGGTTTTATATTATATGAAGCCTAGAAAGTTAATACACTACCAAGAATGCCTTTCATTTACTCATTAATTCAACAAAAACTTATTGAATGATGATAATATACAAGCAAGAAATACTTAGAACTTCTTGCACTAATGAACCTCACATTCCTGTAAGAAAAGCAGACAAAAAGAAAAATGAATACAATAAATTCACATAATGATACAAATAGGAGAAAGTGATAGAAAATGGAGAAAGGAGACACTCTTTCAGTGGTGTAGTCAGGAAAAAACTAAGGCAACTGTTTTAGTCAACTTTTTCTCTGGTATGACTAAAGATATGACCAGAGGAGGAAAAGTTTATTTGAGGGCTCATGGTTTCAGAGGTCTTAGTCCACAGAAGGCCAGCTCCATTCTTCAGTGCTTGGGGTGTGGCAGAGGAAAGCAGCTCACATCATGGTGACCAGAAGGCAGAGAGACTCCACTCAACAGATACAAATATATACCCAAAGCCACACTCTGATTCCCACCTCCTACAGCCACACTCTACCACTTCAGTTAATCCCTATAGGGGATTAAATCACTGATTGGATTAAGACTCTTACAACCCAATCATTTCTCTGAACTTTATCATTGTCTCACATGTAAGCTTTTGGGGGACACCTCACATCCAAACCATAACAGTAACATTTGATCCGAGACCCAAATGATGAGAAAGAGCTAGAAAGGCAAATCTCTGAAGGCAGCAGATTTCTAATGTTTAATTTCTTGTTTTCTTTTAATTTTGTGTTTAACTCTTAGTATCTGGAATATACTTTGGTCTGTGCTATAAGTTACTGGTGAATTATCCATTGCTATATACAGGCCACTCAGAACTTTGTGGCATGTCCTCAGAAACTCAGGGTGATGACCAGTACAGGGAGACGTGAGTTTATGGGGGCCAGAAGGCAGAGAGAGAGACTCTCTGCTATACCGACCGGGCACTACTTTTATCAAAATTGGCATCCAACAAAATTTTCTACATACTCCTTACCTTTCTTTTGTCTCATGGTACTCCTTTATTAAGTTCTATTAAGTATAGTATTTCTGGGTATTCTGTTTTCTTTCAATAAAACATGTCTATTTTGAGGCTATTTAGTTTTAAAAGTAATGGGTTTAGCACCTTAATCATTAGCTCTTGGATTAGAATATTCATTGTCATATTAAAAGAAGTAGATTTCTATTCCTCTCTCTTCTCCCCCCCCTCCCCATTTAAACTGTTTTTCAAGTACAGGCAACAGCCATCTTTACCCAGAAATGAAGGACATGTGAACAGTTGTAAACACATTCCCTATTAGAAATACTTTTTATCTATTAAAATATAATATTGTTTATAATTTGTATGGTTAGAATTATTAGCCATAGTCTGTGTTTAGATAATTTGTTTGGTTAGAATTATTAGCCATAGTCTGGGTTTAGACTGGAATTCCATTCAGTTATTCATTAACTTAAATTATCCTGAAAGTGAATTAATTAAGCATTAATTTTATAACTGAAAGAGAAAATGGGCGTCTTATTGATCAAAATTACACTAGGGGTTGGGGTTATGGCTCAGTGGTAGAGTGCTTGCCTAGCACATGTGAGGCACTGGGTTCAATCCTCAACACCACATAAAAATAAATAAATAAAATAAAGTCATTGTGTCCATCTACAACTAAAAGAAAAATATTTTAAACAGTTACACATAGATGCACACATTTCTAGCTTCTTTAATAAAAGTTTTATAGCTGAGCATTATAGTAAGTCACTCCACAAAGTCTGTCCAAGCTGTTTTTACTGATATTCTTCAATCAAATGATAACTAAGGTTGACCTTCCTAATTCCAAGATCCCTAGTGATCATAGATTATTCTTGCCTTCTTCTTTTACCTGTATGGCTTCCTTATCTTTCCTCCCCCACTCCCTTTCCTTTCTGCATCAAGAAAATTACTATGTTATTTTATTCATTCAACAGATACTCATGAAACACTGTTGTGATTTGGGTATGAGATGACCCCCAAAAGCCCTGTACTAATGCAGGAGGTTAAATTATTAGATTATGATTAGCCAAAACCTAATCAATAGATTAATTCATTTGATGGATTACTAATTTGAATGGTCTAACTGGGTGGTAACTATAGGCAGGTTGGAGGAGGTGGGTCACTGAGGGTGTGCCTTGGGGATTATATCTTGCCCTCTGGCTCCTCCCCCTCTTTTTTGCTTCTCAGCTACCATGAGGTGAGCAGCTTTTCTCTACCATACCCTTTCACCTGTTATGCCTCACCTCAGGCCCAGAAAAATGGCATCAACCCACTATAGACTGAACCTCTGAAACCATAAGCCAAAATAAACTTTTCCTCAGGTTTTTTGTCATATGAAGAAAAACTAACAAAAGCACCAGCTGTATACCAGGTGTTGTGCTAGGCATAGGCAACACATAAGAGCAGAGACTGAGCAAGTTCCTGTCCTGACAGAGTTTACAGCCTGGGGGAGCCAAACATTAAAAATAGAAGCATTTAAACAACTGTAAAATACTAGTAGGAAAGTTCCCAGTGGGAGATTCAACCATTTAAAGAAAATCCAGAGTGGGTTTCTCTGAGGAAATGAATTGAGCTGAAATTAACAAGTTACTGAGGCAAAGGAGGAGGACAGGGAAGAGATGACTGTAAAGCAGAGCAAACAATCCTTACAGATCCTTTGTGGAGGAAAGGGGCTTGACTTGTTAGACAAGCTTTTAGAATGGCATTAGTCTTGCAGTTCACAGAAGAGAACAGAGAGTGCTACAAGATAAGGGCTGAATTGCTAAGCAGGTACCACCTCCCTTGAAGGCTAGTTATGAGCCTGGATCCTAAACCCACTGGAAAGTTCCAGAAAGGGAGAGAGCATACTGACTCCAAAGAGGAGAATGGGTGCAGAATTTAGAAGGCTATTGCTACCATCCAGGCAATGGTAGCTTAGACCAGAGTATTAAGAATAGAGATAATGAAAAATGGAGGTAACCAAAAGGGATTTTAAAGTTACAACATCAGAACCTGGGGATGGATTCTATTAGGGAAGTCATAAATGACAGTTTCAAAGATGACTTTTGGAGATCTGATCTGGCCTGTACAACTGAATGCACAGTAGGTGTGCCCTTTTTTTAAAACATAGAGATCACATACATTACCTGTATACAAGTAAAGGATTTGTATACAAGTAAAGTCTGGTTTAAATATTTACCCCGAGCAATTTGGAAGACAAACTCGTGTAAACCTACTGTAAATACTTTTGTGACTAATAAAAAAATGATAAGAAATAAAATGAGTGGAAAGGATACGTTTAATCAGGATCAAAACATGACCCTTGAGAGAGATTTTTCAGTGTGTTTTGTAGTATACATTTAGTTCCTACAGGCAAGTCTGTTTGCTGCAACAGTCAAAACCCAAAGTATTTGATTGAAGCATTTTGTATCAACAGCCAAATATATTTCTTTGGGCAAGATTAAATTCAATTAAAGTAAATTAGATATATAATACAATACAAATAGAAAAATAATTAAAACAAAAGGGTTTTATTCTAGTGTATTTGTATCATTTTCTAGTTCTGATTTTGATACTAGGCCACCTTAAATTCCATTTTCACTTGGCCTGAATATGTTTCTTCCCTGCTTTCAGTGAACCACTTAACAATAGTTTATTATTCTACTGTAATCCATTTCCATCTCATGACCTTCTAATTAGCTTCAAACTAACCCTTAATAACATTGCTGCAATGCAAAAGTAGAACTTGAAAATCCTGTGCAGTCATTAAAATGCCATAGTGACCCGGTCATAAAGTTATGTCAAATGCTTTAACAGTTCAACGATTGCTTCCTCG